ATTTTCTATGCAGTTAATCGTTTGCTTTGAGCCAGTGAGTAGCTGTCATCATGGCCTCGAAAGCTGAGCAAGAACAGGAATAACTATTTGCAACAAAGCGGGGATTAATTTTGGTTTTTACCAAACAAATCTGACTTGAGGTAAACAATGATATCTTGCCGATGATCATCACATAAAATGACAGCGATTTCCTTGGGTTGTGTTACGACTTAAAAATCCTTAAAAGGATAAACTGCTGTTGGCTTAATCCGCGACGATTATAAAAATAGAAGAAATAAATGAACATTGCAATTGTAGGATGTACAGATTTCATTCGGCACTGTGCGCGCAGGATATCAATTTTTGCTTAAATTATACTTTTTACAGTTTACAATAAATAATCAAAAATCATCTTGTGTGGCTAAATCAACAATTCAAAGGTGACGTTTTGGTAGTACTAGTTGCAGAAGGTTTATTACGGCCACAGAAAAATTTTGATTTCAGAAATCTTGATTAAAGATAATATTGGTGATTGCAATTGATTGGAGAGGTATTCCCTTAAAAATAATTATGATTTTTTCTTGAAAGACAAAAAGTGCATTTTATATTTTATAAAAACGCATGCGTTGCAAATGTAAAGACGTAAAAAATTCTGAAAAGAATTCCGCACGCTAGGCCTAAAAGTGCTAAATCAAAATGGCTGTTCCTGCTGTTCGCCATCACTCAATTCCATACGCTTCAAGCAGATTTTAGCAAAGAAAAAATGGCACAATTTTCAACCAACCATCTTTTTCACCAAATATGGCACCTGAAGACTACTTTTTTTTTTCTCTCAAAATGATGCCGTCCCTCCCAAAAGTTATTACTTTAATGGCATAGCTGCTACAACCTTGAACGTCTAAAAACCGGGAGAGTTTTGTGAGAAAAACGGGAAATTTTTCAGGCTGTGCATTGCGCCATTTGAAAGGAACTCCAAACTGACTTTAAATTGTTTTGTAATGCATTGTTCATGTTATTAAACTATGTGTACTTCAGTTATAATGTAAAATACATTAACATTTAATTAGATATTCTGAATTTTATTTTTTTTGGCTAATTCCATATATCAATTTCCTTACACTTTACATTGTGAAAATACGGAATAGTAAAAAAAAGCTTTTATTTATCAAATTATTTTTAAATACGATGAAAAAATTAATAACTGATGTACGTAGTATCTGTGGGGATAAACTTAGTAATGAACCGTATATTGAAATAAACAAAATTAAATATATATTAGTTGATTAAAACAGTCTTCATATAAAGATCCACAAATGTCTCGAGTAAATTAAGACAATTCAGATTAAACGAAATTTAATGAGACAAAAATCAATAAAATGTAATAATAAAAACATGAGAAAATCAGGAGAAGTGACGATAACTCAGAAGAAATAAAACGTAATAAAGAAAAAATATTCTAAAAATCATTAGAAGTGGGGGGAGCAATGGAACTTGCGAAATTTAAGTTTCGCTAATTTAATACATTTTATTTATTGCTGGGAAACATTTTGCTTAGAAAAGACTAAAAATTAAAAACTGGGAAATTCAGTTATCTACTGGGAGACCAGGCGATGTGATGAAAAATCGAGAGTCTCCTAAAGAAGAGAGTCAGTGAACCATATCCAGAGCCTTATACAATATTTCAAAAGATGCATTCTAAAAAGAATCAAGCAGTTACATGAACGTGCTAAGTACAGACCTATTACATCTCGATTTTGTACGAACATGGTTCTAAAATTTTGTAGACGCACTGCATATGGAATTATAATGTTTGAAATATAAGCTTTGATAGTATTCTTCATTTATATTCCGCAAATGCAGCACTTTAAAAGGATTATTATTATCAGCAAGGCGGATAATTAAGAAACGCATGTGGGAAACGAATATGGAATACTTACTCTAATATTTATAGACTAAAACTAACAGGATGTCACACTGAAGATTAAATTGTCACAAATGCTTTATAAAGCATGTTTACGTAGTAGAATTTTAAAAGAGGTTTAGAAAGGATTAGGACCTTTAATCTACAGAAATGCATATGTTTAATCATTTCCATCAGACAGTGGGTGAATCAACAGAAGCTTTACATGAATTATCCATCGGTTTCAGAATTAAGAGATTACAATACTTTGTTTTAGAGGCTTTTCCCATATTTCAACCAGACAATATTAGTATAGATAAAGTAGCCAGGAGCCACATATTTAAAATAGCAGAAATAAAGTATTTAAGTGGAAGTAATGTACAAGGAATTTTACAGAAAGATTAGCATATTTTTATAGAAAGTTTTTGCGTATAACGTAACAACATCGTGACAGTTTAGGTTTTACTAGCAATTAAGCTTAATTTAAACATTGCTCTGCCTTTCTTTTAATTCATGTAATTTATAATCGCTCATAGCTGAAGGCCGTGCAAATTAAAAGCACGTACGAGACAGAATATAAAAGCTAGCCACTTTTCAACTCAATAATTTTCAGAAAAATCAACCACAAATTGTGTTTTTTTTATTACACAATTTAAAAGAAAATTGCATTTTAGATAAATTACATATAAAAATCATTATTTTTTAAAAATAAACTACAATATATATATATATAATTGTAATCTCTCTCTCTCTCTCTATATATATATATATAAATATATATTGAGAGAAAGAGAGGGAGAAATTAAAATTATCACTGTAATGTTAGCCTTTTGGACACACAAATAGGTATGAATAGTAAGCTTATTTTACATAAAATACCTCTATTGTGTTGCCTTTTTTAATACATGTAAGGAACAATACATATTTTACATAGCTTTAAAGTCCGTACTGATTATATATTTGGAAATTTTATTTATAATTTAATATTTCATCTCAGTATGGTTTACTATGACGCAAGAAACGGCAAAGGAAAGATATTTTTTGGGGTACATTTTAAACAAGGAATGACGGAAATTAAAACCTACAAATTAAAATAATATTTATTAAATGTTATTTTATATCCTTTTAATATTAAGTTTATAAAATTTTATAAATTTGTAAAGAAACTTTACTAAGCAAAACGTTTAACAAATGCAACAATAATGTATTTGTATGCAGATATTTCTCTATAAATTAAAAGAAAACAAACAAACAAACAAACAAAAAACCTACAAATTTATTTCTACCTTTAGCTAATGCCATCTAGAAAGGAAAACGTAAGCTAAAGTAACTAACACGAAATAGTAAAAAATTAAAACTTTGGAAATAAGAAGCCCGTACTACATGCGGACTAATCCAACTGCGCAGAAAAGATTGCTCGTATGACGTACGGACAAAACTATTAAGCGACTAGTGTAGGTTAATTGCAGTTCAGAGATTGAGGCGTGAAAAGCTGCCGCGCTAACCGTAAGACCCACAGAAGAATAAATTACTTCTGATCTTTTACCCCTTCTTTTACTTTAGAATAGGCATCTCATCAATATTACATAATTCTTCGAAAATCATATTACTTTACTTTCAGCGCTATATAAAACTCTGATAAAAAGGTATTTAATATTTAATTGTAAGAAGGTGAAAAAAATTATAGTTTTAAAATCTGTGAGGTTCTTATTACAGATATGAAAGATATGTATAGACGTTTATAGCTAGGAAATATTTTATTAAAAATTAATTCATTGTTATGTTGTTAGGTAACTTATATTTGAAAAGTCTAGAAGAGAATTTTAGTAGTTAATTAACAATTAAAGCATTGGCTGTGGTGTATAATAGATGTCTGCCTAAGGGTAAGTGATGCTTTCATTGAGAATTTTATGACGGATACTGTTTCCAGGCATAGAGAAACTGCGAAACGTATATCCAGCCAGGTCGTTCATCCACCTAAATTTAATTTGAGAAGAATTCTAGATTTTGCTGCTTTAGATTTCAGGTCACTAGTGGGATTACAAGATGAGTAAGCGAAGTGCGAGGAAAATCCAATAATACATATATATTTTATCCTATTAATTTTTTGAAATACACAGGGTGATTATTTGCTAAGGAAATCCATACGCAGATGAAATTGTAGTAATATATTAACGCGAGAGATGTCCAACAAGAGATGTTCATTACCGCAAATGCTATGGAGCTTCATTCTTCCAGGCACCTTGCAACTCGATGCTTCATATTTGCGACCATCACAGTGAGCTGAGTGGTGTCGTCATATAATTTTAGATCTTAAACTGTGCCCTGCGAAATCCTAGAACTCCAAAATCCGAAGAAATTGGAGGCCAAATTTTTTTTAGTCTTTTGAAGATAATGTGACATCCTTAGAAGCAGGTTACGAATTTAGAGTACCACACTGAAAACATTCTGTTATTCCACACGTTTCCCAAGTAAACTTCAGACACGGTCCTTATTAGGCACCTGCTCTAGACAGTTGCGTAATCCGGACAACACCCGATCAGTCTGTGTAAGCCGCCCAAGAGTCCAGACTGCTCTCAACTGTTGTTCCATGTCCAATAATAAAATAATATACCAATATTATTACGATGCATGTGTATGTTTAACTTTTTTTCAAAAAGGAGAGGGCTTATGATGCTTCCGAAAGACATGCGGCAAATGTATCTAGCCTCTTTAGTTGTTATAAGAACCTAAGAACTTGGATGTCAGAAGAAAAAATCTATGCTAAAAATTACGCACCATTCAACATTAGAAGATGGTTCTCATCATTGTAATTGGACCCCAGCAGAAATACTCAGTTTATAGTGATGTTCGCAAATATGGAGTGCCAGATTGTTAAAAACGACGTAGCTATTATAAGTATTTATTGTGATGCAATTTGATTGACTTTATAGGTTTGTATTTCCATAACCACATTTGCGTACTTTAGATGTTCAGTTCCATAGGCCTCTGCGGATAAGGAGATTATAACGAGTGAAACACCTTGCATTATATTTTGTATAAATTAAGAAAAGCATCACTGAAACTCGTTTCGAACACTTTTTAAAACATCAAAACAGCATATACTATTTTTTTGTCTTACCTCCTTCATCGGTGCGTATTACAATGGCCTCCGACAAGGGGCCTTCTCCCGCTTCAGTTCCTGCAAGCACCCACACACGATAATCAGTCCAGGTACTGAGCTGATCCAGCACTACATGCATATCTTTGGCATCTACTCGTTGGCTAGTTGCAGTGGAGGGATCGGGAGGTTTTTCGGCTTTCATGTAAAGAACTTTATAAAAGGTAATTTTGCCGTTTCTTTGACTCTCCGGAGGTGGTTCCCAAGAAATGCGCAATGAACGAGAATTAAGTGTTACACCGGTGACTTCTAGCGGCGGTGCGCTCGGTGCTAAGTAGCAAAGAAGCAGCAAAAGCATAAAGAAAAAAAATCATAAAACCAAAGAAAATGCAAATTAATAAGAAGAAAATAAACAGATAACTGGAACTATCAACTTCATTTTGAAATATAATGGAATTCCTTAAAAGCTCGAATAGCTTTTAATTATTTAAAATAATTATAATTATTTATTATTTAAAAAAATATGAGTAATTACAGTGAACATAAAACACCTACAAAACTGATTCGCAATTCATAGAAATCTTGCTATCATTTTTCACAAACTTATTACCCAAACATATCACAAATCCTTTCTGTCTGCGACTGCTTTCAAATACTTATGCTTGACAATCTTCTCGTAAGGAATGATTGAAATATTTCCATTTGATTGGAAGCAGTCTTTATATGAGGTACACGGGATCATAGCTGAGGTGATGTAAAGGCCGTGATTAATCTTTTGTGATTGGTCAGGTATTTGCTGCACAGAGAACTGCTTTTATACGGGATAGGTAATAAAAACTGATAACTCACAGGGTAACAGCTGCCTGTCGCTAGTTAAGTGTACTGTTTACTGCAGACAGAACTGTATATGAAACGTGTGATGTTACGGAGAAATATTCTGAAACCATTTAAAGGCCATCGTCTTTCAGGATGATGCACGCTTTCATGTATATAGCAAAGGTCTTGAACGAAAATGGAGAATTCTAACTCCACAATCAGGATTTCCCAATGAACGACTTTTTGCTTTTCAGTTCACTGAAAATGCCCTTAAAGAGACCTCAGTCCTAGTCGTTGGATGATATGTGACAGCTGCAAGCTGCATCGGACCCTTTCATGCTGCAGAAAACATACTTTCATCGGAAAGGTACCTTGTTGATCAATGAGGATACATGTTTCTTCGTTACAGACTAGATATGGGGCTGTAATGAGGTCAAAGTAAATGTTTTGGTAATCAGCAATATAAATTAGACTGATATTAAGCATTTACTAAACTATTATGCTAGTCTAAACATTTGGCAAAATTTTCTACAAATTTCTTCAAAATGTTCGCCCAAAATATTTCTTGACTGAGTTCTAATTCGGAATATCTTGAAATACGCTTTTAATATTTAATTGTAAGAAGGAAAAAAAATACCATTAAAAAAATCCATTTTTTTTGGAAAATACCATTTCAAGATTCAGTATTTATTTTCAATATTTATTTGTTTGTCTTTTTATGTCGCTCATGTCTTCGCGTTTTTATGTGAAATTTAGTGCTTACATTACACGTATAGTGCAAAATTAAGATTACGTTTTTACGTCTTATACAACCCGAAAGAGTAAATAAAATTAATTAAAAGTTTAATTCAAATTCTTTATTTTAATACATTAATTAACCTTAAATAATACATATTTATTTTCAGTACTTCATTTTCCTGCAGTTTGTAAAATTACAAGCAGTATAACCAGCGAAGTGTGGGTTATATTTGATTTGATAATAAACAATATTTATTTAATCAATTGGCGCAGTATATCGCAGGTACATAAGTCGATAACAATCTTAACAATCGATAAGCCTTTTTCAATTTCGTAAATAATCGTATTCAGTCTGACCGAGTGAAAGGTGATAACAACTGAACAAGCAATTTTTGAAACAAACTAATTCAGATTATGGAAGATAATTTACTTTAATTAAATGCATTAAGTCTAAAAGGAAGAAGCTATATTAATGGTTAATATTTTAAAAATTTTAAATCTGTCAAATACAAAACTGAAAAAAGCTCAAACAGGAGGATTCATTGCAGTAGATTAGAATTATTTAGTAAATTAAGAAAATATTTTGCATATACGTATGTGAAAAATGGTAAGTTCTCATAATAATAAAAACTTCAATAGCAAGATTTCTTTGATCGAATGTAAATTCTGTAAATTACTTTTAACAAAATATTTTTAATTTAACTGTAATTTTGCAACTAAAATTGTTGACAGTTCCCGTAACATAATAATAAAAAAAAGCATAAAATGTATCAAAAATACAAAATAAAAATATCTTAAAAACAATGTATACATTTTAAGATAACAAACACGAAAAAAATGAAAACACAAATAAATTCAAAAGGAAATACATATATCATACAAATGATGGAATACAATTTTTAAAATGAAAATGAATAAAACTGAACTTACGATTAAACAAAAAGAAAATAAATAATTCAAAAGAAAAATTGTAAAAGGTAATGTAACAGCAAAGTAATAAAGCAGCATACCGTGGCATTATGAAATACTCAGGGCAAAAATAATTGGTTTACTACATTTGATAATATTTTGATCTAAAATGCTATTGGAAAAATGGAAAGAAATATTTCAAAAATGGAAATAAATATTCTATTTTTTTTCTTTTATTGCTCCAAATATCTGAAAAGAATTTATATTCTTTCAAAGTAAAATTTAGACATTATCAAGTTGTACGAAAACTAAAATTGATAAGTTTAAAAAAGCTATCTAAATGATAAATTCTGTATCTTAGTAACAATTAAATAGAGATATATTAAGATATCTGACAAATTTAAAAGAACCAAGATAAAACGGATAACGGCATTTATCAAACATTCTGCCAAAAATAAGTCCATGATTATTACATATTTTAAAAAAGTTCAATCAATTAAAAAAACGCAATACTAAAAGCGAAATTTCAGCACTTCGTCTTTGATTGAAATTCAGTTTAAGCTATATTAATGGTTATAATATTAATGGTCTATATTAATGGTCATATCAAGAGTAATAAAAAGTTTCTTATTTCTTATTTGCAGCCGAAAAAGAAAGGGATGTTCATACCTTCCAAATACATCCTGGGAGTTTCACTCACATTAAATCAATTCTAGTTGCTACTTTAGTTCTTTTCCCAATTAGACAGTAATTCTAATAGCTTTTAATGTTGCCAATAATATTTTATCAATTTTCGTGAAATCCTCGTTTCACATATTATCTGTTCCAGATCATTTAATAACCATTTTTATTCTCAAAACTGTTTTGATCATGGCCTCCATGGCATTCTAAATCCCCTTACAATGCTGACTTAAAAAAACTCTTTTTGATGACTCAAATTTTTGTACCCTGTTTTTAAATGAAGAACTTTTCAATAATTTAAAAATCTTCCAAATATATGCTTAATATTAAAATTTAAAATTAAATTTAGAGATTTTAGAGACATTTTTCGGAAAGCTTTTCAAGAAAAAGGAAATAAAAAAATTTGCTTTTACTCGGCGTGCAACAAAATATAATATGACTGAAATGGCATATTTCTTGGAAGTCACTGCATTTCAGCCATATTGTTTTTCGTTGTATGCCGCACTCGAGCAGTTAAAAATATAATTAAGAACTTTTCTGATGACAGTCAAAAATAGTCATTTTTTTTGTCGATAAATGAGCTTCAAAGCGCGACATGTACTAGCTTAAACAATGCCGAAGCTGTATGGAATGCTGAATTTGCGCATTTCTCGGATATGTTTTAAGAGAAAAAAGATCGCTGAGAGAAAGACAGTTTCGTTTTCCTCGGGAACACAGCAATTTGAGTTCCTTTAAAAAATATTAGGGAATCGTAAATTTCCTAATTTTCAATTCGGAAACATACACAGTCTGGGTATTGGGCATATTAAATCTATTTTCTTATTTGCCTTAATTTTTTATTTATTTCGGATTAAATAAAATAATTATTCCTTTCATGAAGCTTTATGTATCATCAGGGTTTCCACCATCTAATTTCGCGCGCCAGTGTTTATGTTTGGCCCTACGTGGCTCCCCGTTAACAGAAAAGTACTTATAATTATTATAGGAAATTCTTTCAAGGGTGGAATCATGAAAACGGCTGATTTCGAAAGCTTATTTGCTGCTTCCCTGATGGCGACCAAATGCATATGAAAATCCATATCTTCAGTTGTTCTTTTCCATTTTTTATTTGAATCTTTAAGATATTTTTATCTTATTTCTTTGCGAAGTAATAAAAGTTTCTTTTTATATACACGCTTGAAGAATTACAGAATTTGATTTAAATTCTTCTTGCGCATAATACTTACCATATATGCATATAAACTATACATACATACGGTCTATTTTTACAGCACATTTGCTCTGAAATCCTTCAGATACTGTAAAAGATGTCTATTGCATTCGTAAACTACAGAAATACTTTACAGTTTGAAGCAGAGAATCAAACCAGCCAATACAGACTGAATATAGAGTGAGTGAGTAAGTGCACCGCTATGATGGCTTCCGACCACGGACATGAACCAAACGGAATTATATACCATCACGGCGGCAGACTGAATATAGAATGAGAAAAGGAAAATGAATCACTTTCTATGCCTTACCATACTGCTCAGTTTTCACTTTAACAGGAGGTGTAGCTGCTCCCTCGCCTGTTTTCGACTTTGCAGCAACCCAGATGTAATAAACGGTGTCAGGATACAGATCTCCTAAAATAAAATTCTCAATATCCGGGATTTCTCGATGATATTCATGTTGCGTAAAGGTATCATTCCAATACAGTTCATAGCCAATAATGTTCGCACCCGTGTGGGTTGGTCTTGTCCATGTTAATTGAACGGTGGTGGAAGATGCAGGAACTGCACGAAGATTTGTCGGCTGACTCGGCACTACATAGTGGAAAAAAGATGTGCATATAAGAAGTAAGAAATTAGAAGTTATTATTATCAGTTACATGCAATATAAATAAAAAAGAAATGGGAAAATGTTTGCTTCGACTGGTAATGTCGGATAACCAACCTTAATTTATTTTTTCCATTTTTAAGTTATTTATATTTCTTTATGAAATTTATGACGCTGAAGTTAGTTATATTAACTGCTAAACACAGTAGTATTAAATTTTAATCATTTCCAGATTTTGCATTCTTAAGTTTCCTTTCTGCTTTTCCAATAAAATTTGATTAATTAATACAAAAATACGAAACATACATATATGTATATGTATATATATATTACTTACTTCTTCTTATGTAACTTAAAGTTCACTTAAAATTTTTAGAGCTAGAAAACGTATGCCTTCGAAGTTATAATCATGCCGATGATTTGTAGGTGCTTTACTTTTTACCATGATATTTTGTACAATGATGTTTCAAAACTGTGAAGGTTTTTGCACTGCGTTAGTTTCCTCCACGATGTTTTAGAACTGTGATGATTTCCCTTTTCTTTCTTTTCTCCTATGATATTTTGAACGACGAAGTTTCTCTCTTGCGTTGTTTTTTCTGCGATGGTTTCGTCCACGATGCTTTCCGTGTTATCAGGAAAAATACAATAATTGGAAACTTACAGGAGTCAAGCTTCAAAATTAAAATCCCAACCCTACTAATCAATTTAACTAAATAAACCAAAAGAATTTAACTTCTAAAGACTTAATATTAACTCTTGACATCAGGTTGCTAAATATAGTTTACAGAAATCACCGGTTCTGATTTATATTTTGGCATATTGCAAGAATATTTCTCATAAAATTAAACAATAAATAAGAGCAAATAAAAATATACAACAAGCTTGCCTTATTTGCAAGAGGAATACGATAAAAGTGACATTTTAAACAGTAACAAATCGTTCGCATTACATGGCCATAGCGTCTCCATTAGGTTCATGAAATATGAACTACAGTTTCAGACACCATATTCGTTTTCAGCGTAGGGAATCTTATGTTAATTAACCAGTTACTTTGATTTCAGCCTTTACTGAAACCTTTCCGCATTCCTCACCAGAATGAAAGGCAGTAAGTATTTAAACCAAGGTTTTGAGATTTCAAACTGCGAGTGTTTCTGGGGTCGCTTGCGCGCTACGTGGTTAGTTTCCTGCTAGCTTTAATATTTTTTACTATTTGACTACACGACCTCTCGCTGTCGACATTTTAATTCTGACGCTCCGGTACAGTTAATGAACAAGCTTTTATAGCCAGCCAATATAGTCCTTGTCTACTGGTTCAACATTTTTATTTAATTTGTACTATTCCATTTTTTGCATCTCCACGAGTTGTGGTAATTGTAGCACGCGTGCCCTTATGTTCTAAATTCTGTTTAAATAAAAATGTTACTTTAACTTTCTCAAAACTCTGTCGTTGATTCCAGACATAACGATAACTTCTTTCACGTCTGTTAGGGTTATAGAACTAACATAGCTTTACCAGATGAGTTGTTACCATATAAGCATACCAAAACTAGCAAACATTTTTTCTTTCTTTCCCGGATATTATTTGTCTCTTCAGCGATAATCGAATGCAGGAAAATAACAAACAAGTGGCGTCCGGTCTAATTTTCATGAGGAACTACTTAAAACATTCTCTCGGACAGCTAGGCAGCATTTCTAAACAGACTTCTAATCCTTAGGATACTGAATGTAACGTAAATAATATCTCTCACATTGGGACTATTAACATAAGAGAAGAAATATCTTTGTGAAAGACTTTGTAATACAAACTAGTTCCTATCCGTATTACATAAAGGTAAACACAAGAACGCGCATGCATCCAGCCATTTCACTAGGATGTGAATATAGTACCCTCCATATGATATTAACGCTCAATAGTCTTACCGCTGTACCACTGGTAGGCTGCGCACCAAAGGTGTAAAAGAATAAGAGTCTCCTAAGTAGAACTTTTGTCCTTTTAATAATTTAATATTGTACTGTTTAAATGAATGCAAAATTTTTAAACTGAAAGCGTCAGATAGGCATAGTGGTTCCAGATGCTGGCTGCCGTGTATTTACGTCTCGGATGAAATCCCGGTAAAGGCTTGGAAGTTTGGAAAAGTATAGTTGTAACCCCATGGCTCAACGTGCGCCACCTAGCGGCCACTTGAATAAACACCAGCCAAAAAAAAGGACTCTAGCCTTCAGTCGATGTACGGGAGTCATGAACTAAGCATGTTGTTTCCCCGAGATGTTGTTCCCCGAGATTTACTTTGTAACTTAAATTTATAATTATAACGCCCTTAACTGTAATGTTTTATCTTAATTGTGTTTTGTTAATTAAAACTATTTAAAAAGACCTTTTTTATGATCAAAGAGAGTCTTTTGTTTATGGTAGTTTCGGTTATATAGTGTCTTTGCGACATGGCAGCTCTAAAAATACACGGCGAGCCTAAGTCCACTGTGCTTTGGTGGTAGAAAAGAGGTGTAGGAAATCTCTGAATGTGTTCTCGTTGGGATTTTTTTAAAAACGGGAATGGGATTGTGGTCATACTGCCAACTATAAGGTGATAGCGAAAGTTCTACAGATTTCACAAATTTATTGCCTAAAATAATTTTTTGACTTTTTGCATGTAAAATTTTTCTTTTTTTTTCCTTTATTGAGGTCTTCTTAGTGCAATAAGCATGCATTTTTTATATCTCATTTCATATTTGAACAACAATTTTAACGTCTCCCTATTTCATAAATAAACGAATTTTATCTTCAGTTTCTAAACATTTATTAAATTTGGATTGGATGGTATATGTGGTATTTCCAAGAGAATGGAAGTAACTTTAAGAAGTAGTATAGCACACCGAAACAAATATTGTTTTGTTACAGAATTCATGGTCGAATGTGAAACATAAAAGCATTCGAGGGCACTTCACATTCGAGGGCCGAGGAAGTGAGAAACAAATATAAGTGGTAAGTGACGGAAGACGAGGACACCTGATGTCTAACAGAGGTAAATCGGTATTTACCACTTATCTAGAGACATCAATTTCCTGGAGCCGCAAAAGGCGCAAACACAGTGACACAGATGATTAAAAAACAAACAATTTGAATCATGTATAACTATAGTAATTGCTTGAAAGAGCAAAAAGTAACACATAAATGACGATGGAAGGATTAGTGGAATTTTTCGAACACACCAGATACAACACACGTAGTTACAGTGCTGAGCGAAATTTTGGCAACGTATTCTTCATCTGGTTGAAAGGATATTTCATCAACGAAGCTCTTGACATGTCTTCACAATAAGACTTCAAGCCACGAGAGATCTGGAGATGGTGGTATTCTGGGTATGAGACACTTTCACCTAATCCAGGCGCAGGGAAAGGTGATATTCAAAGGGTCATTTACGTCTTACCGAAAATGGGTTGGCGTTCCATCATACTGGAATCGTCGCGGAGGGTTGCTAGAATATTCTCCAGCAATGCTAGCAAGATTTTCTGCAGGAAAATATGTTACTTTCTCTTATAGAGTCGGGAAGTGGACATTGGCTGTATCGTCAAGCGTAGACCGAGCAATCACCTCAAGAATTGTAGCTGCGGTACATTCATACTTGTCAAATAACTCTTGGTAGTAAGCAACTGCCCTTTGTAGCCTTTATATTTAAATTCTGACTACGCACTTATGGGAAAAAATGTTTTAGTGCAATTTGCTACCTCTTCAAGTCTATTCGATCTCTTTCGAAATACTTTGCCTACGTATCTGACTTTTCAGAAAAAACGCTATTAAAATAAGCTTATAAATCATGCCTTTAAAATTCAACTACAGTTACTAAATGGTGTATTTTTAAGCTATATTATTATTTTCTGTAAATAAAATTAATCTGGCGAAGTAGAAGTTAATCAACAAATCGTTTGAGGTAATTACAAAGAACAGAAACTGCAAATTAAATTCTTTTTAAAATTGTATTTATATTGGTATACGACTCTACTCATTAACTTTTATAACAGAATTGTTCAAATAAAAAGCAAGCCTAGCGTCAGTTCTATTAACGAAATAGAAATAATCAGGTCTTTCTTTATAATAAATTTAATAGAAATACACACACTTAATAGGAATACATACATACAAGTTCAATTTTAAAGGCTACGTAGATTTGAACCTAATGTTTTTGCTTATGAAAAATAAAAGAATTCAGAAACATAAACAGATTTTAATTAATGCAGCCAATTCACCCGTTGCAGCATACAAAATGAAAATATTAATATCAGACGACTTTAATAAAGTATTTAAATAGGGATTTATGAAATCGCAAAATGAAAATCTGAATCATTTCTTGAGTCTTCATGTTAAAAGAAATTAAAAACTGTTCGAGTCTATTTTTGATTATGATGCAATTTTTCGCGATAAAGGTGCATAATTTAACCTGAAAATACAAAAGAAAAAGTTCAAGAATGAGATTAACGTTTAAAAAAGGAACAAAAGAGATGAGAAATTAAAGCGAAATAAACTTACGTTATATAAACAGGAAAACGTACACTTCAGTGACTATATTAAATTAGTCTGCTCAACTGAGTTACAATATTAAGTGAGAGTATTTATCCCAGCAAGATATCGTTTCCAATTTTAAACTATTGTAAGCAATGCAAATTAATTCAGTACAAAAAAGTTAATTCAAAACATCGACAAGTTTGTTTAATACATTTTCAGGAATGTGAGATATCCTGAAAATGTGAGATAATACATGATACTTTACATATAAAGCTGATCATAACTAAATCGCAAGAGGTTGGTAATAAAAATGGGAATAAAGAGAAAAACTCTATTACATACAAAACTTAGACGTATTCTATGTTATTTCTCCTGTGAGGTTTTTTTCAAATTAAAATCTGGGAACGTGTTATCTGCTATTGGCTGTCTTCGTCATAGAAATTTGAGCTATACCATAAAACAATTTAAAGAAAATCAAGAAAAAGATCAGAAACTCTAAAACTAGAAATTTTATCGAACCGTTTTATCAAATGCTTCAACAATGCGTTCAATCGTCAAAAACATTCCTCATTGAACATCCTTATAATGGGCATCCATCCATATTTCTCATAGCTTTAATAATATTTATGTACGACACTTAACCTTTTCCTTATCTTCTATCAGATAAATAAAAAATTTCCTCAGCACATACGCAACGTTTGGATAAACCTTTGCTTCCACGCATTTTGTGTAGTTAACTTAGGTAGTTAGGCTCTGTGGTCTTCTTTCTGGCTGACTGACCTGTGCGAAGTTATAGGATCAAACAGAACTTTTCCCTGCATTGTAAGAAATTACCGATAAAACAAGTTTCTGCCTGATTTCCAATTAGATCTGATTAAATGCATTTTTTGGAGAGTTGCCTACTGAGGTTCGCTATACTAGACATGATAAGAGTTGTAAGTTTCTTCAAGTTGAAGGACAAAATGCAATTGAAATTCATAGCAATGTCTAAAGTTGGTAAGCAGCTATAGGTTTCTTCAAGTTGAAGGACAAAATGATACATAGCAAAGGATTGTTTAAAGAAATATACAACTTTTCGTAGAAAAGCGATCTTCCAGAACTAGTTCGAATGGTTAGGTAGAAATCTGTCATCTGCGCAATTATTTAGAACGCTAGAAAAAAAGGTCAGTTCAACACTGTGTTTCGCGCTGATGGTCAATCAGAAAACATTGAAAATCACAAAACCGCAATAATGTTACGTGGTTGAAATTAAGAACCGCTGAGACTAACGGCAGATGTTTTTGTAAATATTTTCCGCGTTTTTCATATTAACAACGTATTTCCCATTATAAAAGTTCCAATTTAATTATAAAGAATTTTAAAGTACCTGATAAATATTGAATATACATATATGTCAAATGATGACATGAAGTTTACTTTTGTTTATCAGGAATACTCCTTCCCATCTATTCCGTAAGATGCTTAAGGTTCCTAATAATGGAAAAAACATTTTCTTACCTCCTAGCTGAGTTTTCATCCGGATTGGAGGAGACAGTGGTCCAGGCCCTCTACTGGTGAATGCCTGGACACGTATTGTATAAATGGAATGAGTTTGCAAGTCGCTGATTGTTGTCAGTTGATTGTTGTCCACAATTTGACTGTGCCATGCCTGCGTCGGTAAGTGTGGCCTTGTAGTGTAATAAACCTTATAACCCTGAAAAAAAAATAATTTGGAATACTCTCACTTTGCACCTAACAGTGGATCTGCATAAAGAACCACAGTTACTACATGTGCATGTGCTCAGCTTAGAAGAATTTGTACAGCCTATAGCCTCACAGATTCAGAGATAACTCTAAATCTAAATAACACGACGAACAAGTATTAGTTTAGAAGTCACATAACAAAAATCAGCGTTATACTTGCAAATTTTCACAGCGTTATATTTTCAAATAATCAGCATTATATTTTCAAATTCTATCAGCGTTATACTTTCAAATTCTATCAGCGTTATAATCAAAGTTACATTTGCAAACTCTGCGAAAATTTACAAATATAACGCTGATTTTTGTTGTTTGATTTCTAAACTAACTCTAAACCTGTTTGCCAAAGCCTCGCAATCAAAGACATCACGTAAAAGTAAGCATCATGTAAAGCACATTTACACGTATCTAAACTTTGAACACATCATACTGATTGACTAATTTTGACTTTCTAATTATTAAATGAGTTCTTAACAATTTTGTTAAGTTCCTTTCTTGATAACGAAGCATCTACTACTAGATTTGACATGAGATCTTAAGATCTCATGTCAAATGAACCGGTCTCTTCGAATTTATAATCCGCTAGACCCGTGACAGGCATGGGACAAAAACTGTATCTTACACCCACTGAAGTCCTGCACTTCTTCAGGGAAGGTGAAGCACAGTAACCGTTATTGCAAAAATGCCTACACAAGTAAAACCTGACCTTTCACTGACAGAATCATAACCAGCTTCTCAGACGCAGAATAACGGGGAACTGCATTTACTCCGTAAGTCTAATATGTAGTGCGCATGATAAGTACAGCTTCATCTATCGATAAAATTTTGAACTATCATTTTTCTTTTGCCCAACAAATTGCTTTTTATATATTCAAGTCATTCCGACCAGTGGTTCGTTTTCTACAGCACTTTGAAAATGGGCTTTCAATAACAATTACCTTGTGCATAGCTGTCGGTGTGTGTATATGAGGTGTGACACACAAAAAAAGGACAAAGTGTGTAGCTTAAAAACAGAGTGGAGTTGGCAGCATCTGTTTTGGTGACATCATTCCACACACCTCTATTCATGCGGCCAGTTTCGACTTAACCGACCAAGGCAGTGGGGAGTACTGCGTCATTGAGTGAACACGTGTAACTGCATTCTGGCGGAAAAATGTCTAATGTAAAAACCGAACAGGGAATCAACATCAAGTTTCTTATGAAACTTAAAAAATCAGCCACGGAGGAAACATTTCAAATGTTAACCGAGTATTGCGGTTGAAACTTTGTCTCATGCTCGTGTGTTTGAATGGTATAAGCGGTTTTCAGGGAGAAGGGACAGTGTGGAAGATGATGAACATGCTGGGTGCCCCCTTGGGCGCTCAGCACGTTCATCATGATTGAATGGGTTTCAAATGGTCAGACTGTTAATCAATACTACTGCATCCGCTCACACGGACCTATCTGTCACGCAGTTTCTGACCAGCAAAAATATTACTGTGATGGTGCATCCTCCTTATTCACCTGATTTGGTTCCATGCGGCGTTTTTATTTCCTAAAATTAAATCTTACTTAAAGGGAACCTATTATACCTCAGCTGAAGAGGTTCAGGCGAAAACAGAGAATCTCCTGAAGGGCCTTCCAAAAACCTCGTTCCAGAACTGTTACCAGCAACATCAGCACCGACTGCAGAAGTGTGTGAATGCTGAATGGAAGTACTTTGAAGTTGATAATGTCACGGAGAACTGATTCTGTAAGTACAATGATTTATTGGACCAGTGTCTTTTTTTGTGTCACACCTTGTATATGTATATTGTATATAGCAGAGTACAAATAGCTGTCGCTACATATATATGTAATTAAATAAATAATGAACATATTACAGATAATAAATATATAATAATCATTCCAAATTCATCTATTTTTCCATTATTATGATGCTCTCTTTACATATTTTTTACTGAAGGAATCAGTCTTTTAAAAATTATTTTCACCTTTCAAAAATTATGATTATTTCACAGTCTGAAGGATCTCTTGTATTTTTGTTTTCATGCTATCCATGAAGAATTAAAAAAAACTTTTTTAAAAAATTCTTTCATATACATAATCAAATGTCGGTAGTATTACTCATTTTTTTGAATTCATAGCTACCATTTCGAAAATAAGTCTTAGGCTTGCACAAATGTTTCTGATAGCGAATAAATAAATAGTTCTCAACGAAACAGAATTTATATTATCCGCAATAAACAATATTTAAATAACACATCAAACTTACAGTAACTTGCCCATTAGGTTCTTTTGGTGGATCCCATTGAACTACAACTGTACTAGAACTCAGTGGTGTCGCCTGCACATTCCGCGGAGCGCTTCCAGGTTCTGCAAAGAAAAATAACCTTTCAAATAAAACACTAGATGCTACACGAAAATGAAGACTGATTTACATTTACAAAGTAGAAAAAAACACGCTTAGTTAATGCACTCTAAACTAATAGACTATATAGACAGCTATCATACATATAAAAAAAGTATCATGTAAATCATAAATACACAGAATTTTCTAGTTTTGAAAACTAACACAATTCAAGCGCATATTTTCGGTGGACTTATTATCTATATTATAAGTTTATTTTCTAAGTTTCACTATGCCATGAAATATAAAATTAATTTAAATATTAAGAAGATAATATGAATATAATTATTTATTAGAATTAGTTTCCTTAGCAATTCGCAAAGTTAAGCAAATTATTCTTCACTTTAAACTTTTATTAACAGTGGAAAATAAATTGCTTAAAGTTTTGAATTAATATTCCAACTGCCACACAGTTGTAGAATAACTTACAAACTAGCTGCAAAACTTAAGAAAAACACTCTTTTTAAAGGTAACGAACGCACTCAAACTTTAACGAAACAATAAATGGCAATTTGCCTGACTACAGGTCTGTAGCTGAAAGCTGGTTTGTATTCAGAGTTTGGAATCGTGATATAATAGATAACGTAACAGCGCATTACCGATAAAAGTGAAATTTCAAAAACTCTTTCCAGATTTCAAAGCGTCAGCATGATCTTTATATATTTAGTGAGTTTCAGTGTATACGGTAGAAAACCAAATGGCCACTAGAAAATAATTAGATGATTATTCTCAGAGAAGAATATTTAGGAAGTTGAAGGCATTCATTTTGAATTATAAATAGAGTGACCGATGACTCCACTACTTCTCATCAATAGTATAGATGGATTTCAAAACAAGTACAGTTGTTTGAAGAATTGAAGGTAACCACGCATGAGCAATGATTCAGCAAATGCTAGATAACGAAGCCATTATAAACTAGCTGCTTAGCAAAACAGACGATTATCTCGATTTTCTGTTGCCAGATCTGACTTGATCAAGCTGGACTGTTTGTCTCTTCTGGGCTTCGGCCTCGCTCTTCCCATGTTGAAAATCTCGCCAATGGCTGAGGCTTTCGGTCGTAAAACTATCTAAAAGCAGAAGAAAATAACACCAAATAAACTTTAGTATGTGATTCTGTGATTTCGATTTGCGAAAAACTTTTTTATGCACGAATGGTCTAACACGCGGTGCTAGCAAATAGAAAAAGCTTCGTGCCATTTTTCCGTAGCCTCGTGTTGTCATCGACCAAGAATCAGCATTAAATTACCATGACTTCACCACACTTTCATGTAATCTCAGAATGTGAGCCTGTGATTGTGTTCTCGGAATATTTTTTGCATTCAACAAAATGCGCCGTGCCTTCTGTAACTTTCATCTTGTGTTGTCGTAAAGCAAGGTTCAATGTGAAAGTATCGTGTCTTCTCCATATTTACCAAAACTAAACAGTATTTAAGCATAATGGTTTCATCGCAATATATATTGCCAACATTATTATTTGATTAACAAGTTATTCGTGTGGAAAAGATGCAATCATGATGTCCGTCAGAGATCATGAACTTCTGTGGTGAAATGTGTTTACCTTGTTAAATTATTTTATATAATCAACAATATTTCAGTAGCTACTACAAAAATAAAATAATCGCACGTGAAAAATGGTAGCCCTTTTTATTGTGGCACTACGCAGAACTAGGGAGAATTAAGTATAACTTTTTTTCCATTTTATAGTAAATAGTCTTAAGAAGGATTCATTTCCTTCAACCTTACCATTGGGTTATTCGCGACACTTCGCAACGCATTTATTTCTATTTGAGAAATATCTGTTTGTTAGGCATATTCTGGAAGTTGATACTTAACCGATTTTAGATAGTTTCACATTTTTACTGTACAACTTCAACTCAACATCAATATCAGAAGCAGTTATTCTAGAAGCCCACTAATCTGGTGAGAAATTGGCACGCGATGTCACTCCTCAGTATATTACTGGAAGAGATCGCTATGGTGGTCAGAGAGTTCTTATCTTGGAAAGAAGATACATTTAAACTCATAACATATAGATCTTCTTCAAAACTATACCGTAATATTTACCACTTTTTCTTAAACCGTCTACTGTAATAGTTATGCTATAGTAAGATCCGAAAAAGGTTAAAAAATGCACGAAAAAGTAAATATTTAGCTCAGTTACCTTAGAGGAAAACAAATATAAAGAGCAAGGAACAGGATTTGTCTACAATGAAAAAATATAAGCACGGGGTTAAACTGTAGAGAATCCTGTTCGAATAAAAACAGTTCACATTCGACCTAATTTCGAAAGGTAGAAATATATATATATTATTTACAAAACATTAGAGCGTGAGAATAATTTCAAGAAGATTAAACTTTGCGCAAAATGAACCACATGTGAATTACGCTCACTTTCATTTTATTTTAATAATTTATATCTTAAGAATTCGATAAAAACTAAATTTGAATTGCTTTGAATTACTTGAAAGGTTTAAATAAAAACATCGCTTAAATGAGGTGAATCAATGCGGAAAAAACTAAAAAATAATAAGAAACATAATTAAAAATTCCACTTCGTTTAATAAAGCATAATCAGAAAAATGATGTTATTGAAGAAAAATGTAAATGCGAAAATTTAAAGGTCGTAGTTCTGGACAAAACGTGTGGCAATTATTTTCTTAAAGGTTTTACTTTTTTCTCAGGATACTTTGTTTTTTACGCTTCATTTTTATAATTAGAAAATCTTTTCTCATCTATTTTATATATATTTTTTATATTTAAGAGTTCTAGTTTTTAATAAAACAACAAAAAATACGAATTAATAAGCTACATACAGGGAAGAAGGTTTGATAATGTTTATAGGAACTTAAATTATATGATAATTGTTTTATGTTGAAATACTTTATGCGAAGCCTGCATAACAAAACGAATTTATAATAAAGAGAGATTGTCTAAAATACTTCGAAATCTTTCTTGCTATTGAGTTTATACAAATGGAGAAATACGCATCTGAACTTGATTTAAAATAAAATAGTATAATTGTATTAAATACATTTCTATAAATACTAGATTACATATTTCATTTCCTTTTATAATTTTTAAGGTTACGATTAGCTGATTACGACAACTCACACGAAGGCTATCTGCCTAAGGAAAGGGATGCCTTCGTGGAGGACTTTCTAAGGGAAACTGGCTCGTATGCACGTTACACATGGGGGAAACCACGAAAATACCCTTTCAATGAAATTCGAACGCCGGACCGAATTATCAGTATTCAGCGACTTTACCGCTCGGCTAGTGAACATTTTGCTTTTTTGGATTTCTGTTCTGAAAGCTAGGAAAAGGTATTTCAGAGTAGCTTTGCTAAAGATAACTTTTTTTTTTCACATTTTTAAAAAGCATTCATCCATTGTCAATACAATGTAAACATTCATTCTTACTGCTGTAATAAATAATAATAACAATAAAAAATAATTAACATTCAGCCATTTCATTACCATTCATTGAATAAATTTTCGTTCACTTCAGTCTGAGTTCAAAAGAATGATAGCATATTCGTACATATCTTATACAATTCTAACCTTACTAAAATTATTTTTATCCTATTATATAAACTCTTCTAAAAATAAAACAATCATAAAAAAATTCTACATTTTGATATATATTTGAACATCGACTATGCAGATTTCAATTACTTAAACTCTTCAGTATAAGGTCATCCCCAAGTAGTACGTATAAAATGAGGTTTCATTTAGTTCAATAGAATAGTTTTGAAAATACACACACTGCCCAATGAATTAGAAAACCAAGATCAGTATTTTATTGGACCACCTTTTGCACGGATAACTACTCTGATTCATTTGGGCTTTACGTTTACATGCTTCTGGAGTGCATTTACATCCAGAGAGGATTTTACTGCATAGCCAGTGCATAACCATTGCACTGGCTATGCAGCTTTTTAGATCTTGCAAATTAGAAACTTCTCTTGTAAATTAGACGGAAGAGGATATAGCTGTCGGATGCGTCTTTCCAGCATATCCCATGTATTTTCTATGGGGTTAAGATTTGGGCTATGCGGTGGCGAGGAAAGGTGTTGGAAGTCAGCTTGATGTTTCGCGAACGAATTCTGAACACTTCTGGCACGATGTGTAGTTGCATTATCATTTATGAAGTAAGTATCCATCGCTATCAGGATAAAAATGCAACATTTCAAGGTGCACTTGATCTGCCAGTATATCTACGTATTTCATGGCTGTTTGTTTACCCTCCAAGAAGACCAGGACAATACTTCCATGCCAACGGAACATGCCCCATATCATGATACTTCCACCAGATTCTTACACAGTGCAAGTAAGGCAAGACAGATTAATGGTTTCATGGGATTCTCGCCAAATTCGACGTCTTCCATCACTACAAAATAAGGTATAGCGTGATTCAACCGATCACATTACCCGTTTTAAATCCTCAGACGTCCAGTATCTTCTTTCCCGACATCACTGCAAACGAATTCTTGAATTTTGGGCAGAAATGAATGGTTTTCTCACAGGTACCTGACTATGCATTCCCATCCCCTGCAATTCTCTGGTTTGTGCTGAAATCTGTTTAGAAGATCCTTGGTTGACGATCTGTGTCAGTTGAAGCACAGAAGACTCCTTGTTCTGCCGTACAATTCGTCGGACATGATGCCGATCACTTTCTTGGAAAACTATGCTCGAACCGCAGTCCAACTTCTGAAAACCTTTGATATGGCTGCTTTTGAGCACCCGGTGAGATTTGCTGTCTTCGAAATCGAACCCGCCTGCTAAATGGGGACCAACAATAAGCCCTTTTTCAAATAGTGAAAGATCTGTCGTTTTTCCTATTTTACTTCATTCATCGTGAAAAGCACTCTTACACCTTATTTATACTAGCATTCTAACCACATATAATCCACATCATAAAAAAGTTTGCATACTTCATCCCTAGCACGCATTCAGATGAAAAGCTCAAAAGTTTCTAATTCATTGATCAGTGTGTGTAGTAAAATATTGATGTAAATAAATGTTGGACGCTAAATGTTAAGTCATAATGACATTTTAAGGGCTGTCCAAAATGAAATGAAGTCGGAGAATATGGAACGATTTCTAAGATAAATTTTCAGGTCCTTCAAATATTGAATAAGAAGAAGTCTTTAAAAACACCTATGAGGCGGCTATATGAATAAAAAATTCATATTGTATTCAATATTTTGTCTAAAAAGAAATTGTGAGATTAAACTGTAATTTCTTCAACACAAAAAACCAAAAAATAACAAGTATTTACAGGGTGTTTCAAATCTACTGGACGAAACTTCAAGGAATGACAGAACGCTCCAAAACAAACACTTCTCATAACAGAAAGCATGGTCACACGTTAAGCAATTAGGCACTAGGAGACACTTTCCGCTTAGGGACAATTTATATTAGCTGCTCGTTTATCCGAACTAGGTAGATCTTCACAGACTTAGATAATCGCGCAGTATTTAAGCAATCTATATTTTCCTCTGATATTTATTCATTCTTCCTACATTTAAAGCCCGCTAGCAGTTACAGGGTAAAGTAGCCGAACACTAGTAGTTCGGTCCAGGGTTCGAATCCTGGCGAACGGGTTGGCCGCATGAGCATTTTCGTGGTTTTTCCCAACGTGTATACGAGCCGGTTTCCATTAGAAAGTCCTCCAATAAGGCATCCTTTTCATTCGGCAGATAGCTCTCAAGTGATTTACAATAATCAAAGAAACAAAACAACTTATTGTATTATCTGGTTTACTTAGCACGTGTCAACAAGACAATTCAATTTCTTTAAATTATTTTATCGATTTTTTTTATTATTTAGAAAAGAAATTCTATAGCAAATTCATGTTTTCCAATCGATAAACGAAGAAAATATTTCTGTAGAATTTTTCCTTAATACTCTACTAACTATTCTTTCTTTCTTTATTTTTTAAATTTTCTATCACCTATTACATCTTGGCATAATAGATTAACAGTTTAATAATATTACATACATTTATTAAGTAACAAAAGTTTCAGAAGGTCTATTTTCGTAAAGGAACTTCTTATGGAGATCTGGTCTATGCTATTCAACTTCGTACTCATTTCATAGATTCATTTTCGGACCAGAGCATTTCATTGGACAGAATGAATTAGGGGCGAAATTACATACTAACATCCAGCAAGCTGCACCGTTATTGTCATTTACTTTAATTAATTCCATTAAACGTGATTATAACTGCAAATACAAGATTTCTTTGTATCATTAGTTTGTTATGTCACGTTTATTTAGCTAAAATACATTCCAGCTGCACTATATAAACTCTTCTATTCCAGCAGTAGACATCAGAATTGCTATGTTGCAGTTATTCCACTAAACCCCATTACAACGACATTATCAAAGCTATTATACGAAATATATTCCACTAAAGCTGACTTCAGCTGCATCATCAATGTTGTTATACTAAGTGTACTTCACTACACTGAACTGCAGTTAGTGACAAGTAGTCACTAACTTCAGTTCGAGAAACATACACAATTACAACACGAGAAACAGTTGTTAAGCAAACAGAAAGTGCTTTTGGAATATATAATGCTTTCTAGAAAGCTAATAAGTTAAATGAGGGAGCAAATCATTTTCATATAAAGATGAATCTTTGAGAACGGCCTTGTTTGAACTTTGTTCGCTACATCTGCACCCAAATATATTCCTTACTTCATCAGTTATCCACGCACAACTGATAAGAGCTAAAAAACGTACAGTGTGTATAAGAAACACTGAATCAAAACACGACAAAACAGTAATATACAAGATACATAAACTATATAAACCTTTGAAGCATGCACTTTTAAATGTAATCAATTAAAGAAATAATAAACACTGAGCAAGCTAACACAGGAAAGGAATAACAAAGACAAGCAATCTAGAAATAATATTACAGACAAGCAGTCTAGAAACAATAACAAAGACAAGCAGTCTAGAAAAGCACTTACTGCTAGATCCAGAGATATCCACTATAGAGAAACAAAGAAAGGATAGAGTCAGATGCTATAGTAAAAGAGATATTAAGCAGTGAATTATTAAAATTATTTTCTATTTCAAGATTTGTTTTGCCGGAAAAATATTAATTAATTTATTACTTAAAATAGTTAACAGTTAAACTATTTTTCTCATTAAACAAAAAATCGCTAATCTAAAATTGATGCTATTAATTTCATAGAATGTAAAATTTCACTTCAGCTTTATAGTTAATATAAAATTCGAATTATCTAATCAATATTGTTCAAGAATAACTGGATACAAGGAAATAAAGCAGAGAAATAAATTATGAAACTAGCTTGAAGTGATAATTATAAATTAGCTTGATAAAATAATTAGATGTATGGCAAGCAGAAAAGGTTTGGAAGCACTTCTTCAAAAACCAGACTGCATGTTGACGAACGGCAACATGTTCTCATTCCCCATTGCCATTTAAAAATGCATGAGTATCCCAGTAAGGAATACACTGACATTTATTTAATACAAAATGACTAATTAAATTAAAGATTACGTACGTTAATCCCATGTAAATATTATACAGAGTTTTTAACGAACGAAAATAATTCCCTCTTTGCGAATTTGTAATTTTTATTAGTTAACACGCTATATTCATTTTAATTTAATTTTCATACCTTCTATTTGTCCCATGAACAGTCATTTAAGTTAGGTTAAATTTCAATAACGATCGAAATTGCAGTTGAGAGAGAGAAATTGTAAAGCTGTTTACTAAGACGCCTATTTGAATTGAATTATTTGACGAGCTATATTTTTGTAGTTGTCAGTGTGCTGAGTTAGAATCTATATTAGCTGAAGTTAATCACTTAAAGGTTGAAAGCTAGTTTGTATTACATGTATTTGAATATTTGAGTTTCAGAAATCGCGCAGATGCCAGTGGCTAATATTTAAATTTTACATACTATATATTTAGATTGTTCATAATTAACGAAAGCAGTTAGTAGAATCATATTTATTTTTCAAATAGATTATAAATGATTAGGAAAGATGAAATGATTAAAATTTTCGGTAGTTTTGACGTACAGAGAAAGCAGAAATTTGTACCCCAAGTATCCGTGTATGGCAAATATGGCAGCTATTATATAAGGGCATCTGACGTAATTGTTGGTGGGCATCGCCATGCCAATCTGTAATTATTGATCAGAGCTTTTAATTGGAGTGAAATCTTAAAAGCGCGCCGGTCACGGTAGAAGTCAAATCCGTGGTTGTTGAAGAAAGGTAGGACAGTAAGATGGTCTCATAGATATGGCACTGCCACAAGCATTAAAATCTTAGTAATGTAACGATGGCTGGTCCCGATACCAAAAACGAGATTAGAGGTGAAAGGAATGAGTACCCAAGAACCCCTCATGCTATGAACCATAATAGTGAGGTGGTATGACGACGAAGAATACAAGCTTCCAATGATCGTTTTTCTGTGTGCCTCCAAACATGTCTTTATCATGCAAGCAAAGTGATACGGATAGATTAGTGAATGGGGACAATGAGATTCCTAATGTCTCCCTGTGCGCCCTACCAGATTCACAGACTGCAAATTGTCATAATATGTCACTCAAATCTCAACCATCGTGAATAGAAACTGCTTGGTATGATAATCTGTAGTTTCACTAAGTAAGGACTTTTAAATTCTGAGACATGATAGTATGGGTTCCTTCTTACACGGTCTCCATCATGATCTCTAACGTAAAAAACGAGTAAACCCGATTTCTGAATAAAAAATCGATATTTCAATATAACTTTTTACCTGTTTGTTGCCTGCAAGTACCATTGCCTGTGTTGCCGCTTGTCGTAATCATTGGCATATCCCAGCATGTGTTACCTTTCAGACAAATTTCAAGTTTACTGAGTATTTCCTTCGCGGTGTAGCAGTTTCAATAATTAACAATGGCATTTTACTATAAAATGTAGATTTTAAAAAATATTTTAGTTCAGTTTTACTTCTTATCTGTATTTTTGAAGTGTAGACTTCCATTCTGGGTAAACACACAAATTTGTCAAGGCAAGAGAAAGTTAACCACATATAGTTAATTAAGTTTAACTTTATAAAGCGATATTGCTATTTTTACTCGACCTACTATATGATGACAAAGTGACATTCCCATTTACTTGATCTTGAATTATTATTCTAAATTAAAACTGGTTTTAACACTAGAAACAAAGGATCAGCTAATAATTATGGACTGAAAAATAGCACGTACGCATGTATCTTAAAACAGCAAAATGACTGTTTTGTATGTAATTTTATACATATGTGCGTCTGTTTATTTCATCTGAATTAGTTTTGCAAATTGTTACTGCCTATGAGCAATATGCTTTATGTGCGGATCTAAATGCGTGTATTTGCGTGAGTGTTGCTCTTACGCATTTGAGTATCACCTAAATGCCAAAGCAAGATCTCTCCTTACAACCTTAAATTAATTAAACATAATCAATATCTTTTTTTGCTTATTAATTGCGCTAACCTCCTCTCAAAGGTGATATAAGATTTTAGAAAATCTATTTATTACCACAGAATTATGCTAGTACTGAAACTGGTGAACAAAACGTTAAATCCTTGACATTAATCTCACTAAGAGAAAATGGGAGAAATAAATGGTTCTATTTTGAGAAAGAGGGACAAGTAATTCACAAGCAACTTGTTTCAAATTTTCATGTTTGCCTTGAAGGTCTAGCAAACAAACTTCATTAAACAATTCAGTATTACCATTGCTACAATTTTTCCTTTGTACCGATTCTTCCATAATAATTGAAAATGTTACTACATGAAAGAAACATTATTTCTCCTGATATAATCTTAATGATGAATAAAGAGTTATAAAACATGATCAAAAGTCATTCCAACGACGCTTGTTTCTTATTGCACAAAAATGAGATATGCACTTTAATATGAAATAATAGTAAGCTTGTAACTCAAAGCGTCGATATTTATGTGCAAAGCATATATAGTAAACTCCCGATTTATCAGGTTGGATTAATCGGGTTGCGTATTAATTGGGCCTTGTATAAAAACGAATTAAATTTGTTTATTGTTTTCAGGGAAAACAAAAAGGAGAAAATTTGTGGGATCACAGCTGCGATGTCACAATAGGAATTGTTATTGGCCACAAGAGTACTCCTTTATTTGTACCTTATCTTTGGACATATAAACATTATTAAAAATAAATTATAAATATAAATCAAGTGTCACCCATTAATCTTTTGTCTTCTAGTGATTCTTATCGAAATATATACAACAGTAATTTAAATAAAAACATTGTTCTTTCTGTTTGAAATGTGCTTGCCTTGTTTTGAAGTCCATTTAATTTACACACACAAATATAACGGCTTGTCCAAATAAAACTGCCTAAAAATACAGGTAAATTTATAAGATATTTCTCCCTTCTAACTGTGTGCTTTGGGGTGTAATTAGGAAGTAAGCTTGGCTAGAAATTGGAAAGCCCGGCGTTCGAATTTCGGCTATGCCATTGCACATTTTGGACGTCTCCTGCTTTGAAATAAAAATTTTGACGACTGTACAAGTGGCGCCCGAACTAAAAAATGGTTCACGATTCGTCACCGCTAAGATTTGGCGTCTAGGTCATTCTCTTTTCCAGCAGACCTTTGGGATATGTACGGCCCCCTTACCGTGTGTCTTCATGGTGTAGGTCCGGAGTTAGAATCCCAGAGAGGACACTGCACATTTTTCACGTTTCCTGCTCCGAAAAAAAACTGGTGACTCTATAAATTGTTAATAGTATTTTTATATTAATATTAATATGGGTTATTTCTCTTTTTAATTGTTGTCTGTTAAAATGGCATTTTAGGTTAACCGTAGACAGACATCGTCCCCCATCATTAGCCAGGTTAATCGAAAGTCTACTATAGTTTGAAAATCATTAATAGGATTCAGTTACAATAATTTTAATTTATTTTTATGGAGAAATAATGAAGAACGGGTATTAATAAAATATACGCCGCAAATACTGACTGAACTGGAAGACTTAAATTACAATGAATATTTTAAAGATGATAAGATTATGCTTCAACGTAAAAAAAGTTGTTTTCTTAAAACACCTTTAAACATTTTCTCTGAAATTCTGTAAAATATGCAAGTCGAAAAACTGGGATCCACTGAATATTTTTAAAGCAAGGTCCGTTTATGAATACCGTTTGAAATTTTGCGCGTGCGTGAGAATGAATGCGTGTGCAAACTTCTTTGAGCAGACATCGTTTGCAATCACAGCGTCAATTTGTTCACTTCACAGTGAAACAGTTTAAGAATATAGAATGGCTCGTTAACAATGAAATACCAGGACTAAGAGAAAGAAGAGGATTCATCCCGGCACTACGTGAATTGTATTAAAGGATTGTACGTACCGAAGTCATCCGATGCTGAGGATAAGACATAGCCAAAATCTCACAAGATGAGCACTTCTGTTGTTTGTGTTGCATGCGTTTTTGGCGTTGTTTTGGATGACCGCAATTTTGGAAATATTGCTTCTTGTGGTCATTATTAGCATAAAAATATTCACTAAAAATATCAAACGATACCCGATTGCAAACTTTTAACATATATTTAATCATCTGGTTCGTAACAACAAGAAACATAAAATCAGTTGATGCGTACTGCTAGATATGTGAAATGTAATTTGGTAGTGCAATGAGTAAATTTCGAAAATGAATGAGATTGTTCAACGAATGTTGGGAAAACGTCCATAATGAATTTCACTCTGGTCAGTCATCTGTAATCACTGACGGTGAAGCATTGAGGTCTAATTTTAGGCATTGAGGCACAGGCATTTGAGGTCTAAATTTAAGCAAGTAGACAAGATTTAAGATTTCTAAATTATCGAAATTGCCAAAGATTTCATGACTATCAACAAAAGCGATAGACTGCCATGAGCATGATTTCCAAAAACTCGCTCTTCGTTTCGACATATGTTTAAACTAAGAACGAAATTATGTAGGCGAATAGATAATTGTAGGTAAACTTGGAAAATAAATATCTATTTCAAAATATTTTTACTTGTGTAGTTTTTATTGCAAAACGGACGATACTAGAATAAATAACCCTTGTATCTTTGTTTATGAAAAATCAATATAACATTTCTTTCCTCCCCAACAAGAGTCATAAATTTATAAGAAAGCTAAAAACTGCTGATCAGACTGAGAAAGATCAATAGAACGACCCTGTAATCAGCGCGCAAAGTTAAAAAAATATCTTTAAATTAGTAATTACCGTCTGCCTAGCAGTCTGGTTAAGGAAGATGAATCACTTTAATTTAGTTCATTAAAAAGGAAAGTCTGACAAAAAACTGTATATCTGAAAAAAATATGGTAAAAAACCATTTTTGTTTTCAAATCCAGCTTAGGAGTGACGAATCGAAGGTATAAAAAACTGCAATACACACCTGTTTCACCAGTAGTGACCACAGCCGGGGAGCTAGGAGCTCCCCGACCAATAGCATTCACAGCCCTGACGTAGAATTCGTATTCCGTATACGGTGTGAGGTCTCTGACTGTGTAAAACATGGTATTGATGCCACTCAATTCACTAAATTCTTGGTTGGTTTGCTTGGGCTTATACTGAATGACGTAGTAGATGATATTCTCTGATCCAATATCGTACGACCAAGCAATTCGTACCGAAGTAGCTGTCACATCCGAAATCTGAACGTTGCTTGGGGGGCGAGGGAGCGCTAAAGAAAGAATAGAATATATTAGAAAATGGATAATCATGTTTTGGTTCATACACGTAATATACATATATATACATATATACACGTAATACACATAAACGTGTGCAAATATATATCATATGAACAAACATTTAAACCACAGACCTACAAAATCGCTGACACGAGAATTGCGGAATTAAATGTTAAGCATGCGCCGGATATTTAGAAATATCAAGTTAAGATTCATCCATATAATTCTCTTGTAGTATTTCTAAACTAAACGAAAAAAAAAAAAAAAAAAAAAAAAAAAAAAAAAAAAGAGCAAGGAATTTTATGTACATGAAACAGAAGGGGAAAAATTGTAGATTCATGATTTTAGCCAGTATCGAAAATATATCTCAAATATTTATGTATTACAAATTAGTTTTATGCAAACACATATTTATGTAATAAAAAGTTTGTTTTTGTAATAGGAGATGAAAAATGGGATGTACCAGGAATAAGACAGTTAGTGGTCAGTTGAGCATTCCTTTACTCTTCTAGCAGCATGAAACATACAGAACTAAACCGGAAACAATTGCGCATCAGATATACCAATTAATAGTGTTGCGTATTTTCTTAGTACGCACGGATTCGTGGATTTGAGAGTGTATAACGACGACGCTTGATGAAGTATCAAAAGACAATTTTTTAGCTAGTGTTACTCAGGACAGCTCCAATAACACGTTTACAGTCGTCGAAAAACTACTATAAACACGCCGAAACAATCAGCGACACAGCTTTCAGGCTATCAGGCTATAACGGTGGAGACAGCTTCACGGCAAAGCACCAGAGTACAGCTCCCGGCTCTGTTCGGTCATTCTCGGAACTCTACACACTCTCGAGACCCCACGCTATAACTCGTGATCGCAATGCACTCGAAACACTAGAGTACAGCTCCCGGCTCGGTTCGGTCGTTCTCGGAACTTGGCACACTCTATAATGAAGCTCGACGATGCACTAACTCGCGGACTTTCTTGATGCACTCGACGACCAACTCGGCACTCGCTCACTGACTCTTAGCTGACTGGACTAGGCATTCATTGACTGCCTATCAACTCGCTAGACGAGACACTAACTGACTCTCCGCGTACCAGCAGGGCTTATATAGCCTTTGGCTTGTGTTCGAGAACATTCTGGGCTAAACCAGTAAGAATTCGTTCCAGAAGGTTATCCACACGTCTATGGAGTCTATCGCCAATTTTGTCGCCAAATGGGCGATTTCTCACCAAACACCCTGGACACCCTGCCTTCCTTTGCCATTTTCTGGCAACCCTAAACACCGCGCCTGGAGATTTCGTAACAATAGCTTACCTTTTACATATTCACAGAGTTATGAATGATAGTAATTTAGGCAGCGGACAACATCTTGACAGAACAGGGCAATCATTTGAAGAGTGCGTAGATTCCAATACAGGTAATAGATTAAGAATAGCGAAGTTATGGTTCTACTTTTCCTACTTGTTAGATAAAAATTTCCTACTTGTTTCGTAAATCTATTATTCCATAAAAACTTTTGCTTCGCTCCGACTATTATGCATCAATAAGCGTGATGAGCATTATGAGAATAATGACAAGGATTAATTTCGAAATCATGTATTTGAGAAAGATTTATTATATAACTATTTTTAATATACAAAGAGGAATAAACAAAACATAAAGTAAATTAAGGGGAATATTACAAATTAACGTTTAAAAATTTACTATACATACTCTATATCTTACACATATATCAGATACAAAATCGACTCTACGCGTATGTTCATTATAGCACTGAGAACTGATTTGCTTAGGAATTGCACCGGCAGTTGAATTCAGAATCGATAAAAGGCTTGAATTCGGAATCAATAAAAATTCTACATTATTTTCAAAATGTTAGAAAAAGCTGGTGACTTTATATTTTTACGTAATGAACCAAGACATATACCTAGGATTGCAGAGTTCGTCAAAATAGATTTAAATTTTATGCGAATAGTTTCAATACTGTGGATAGAAATACTGTTTATTATGCTTTTAAAAAATCCAAAATTCACCAAGATGTGGGCAATTAATATTACCAATGGGCTGCTAAAAGCTAAAACATTACTATTGTTTAATCTAATACGGAACCATTAATCGCCAAAATGATTTCAGTTTTTTAAATCTTAATTACGTTAAACTTTGTGAGCATGAGATTGAAAAAGGATTTAACTCCATTGAATTTGAACTCTAATATATTCCTTAATGCTTCCACATTGAAACTCATGAAAAGTTAGATTTTATATTTGCAGAAATTTTTCACTCGAAGCCTTGATATATTTTTCATAACATTGTAATTTAACTGTTTTACGCTAAAAAATAAGCAGTCCATAGATGGTTAATCGATTGTTAAAAGCTATCATTTAAGAATTTTGCAACGGCTTCACGAACACATTCAAACACAGCTGCAAAATGATTGAGAGTCATATCAAACTTGTAAATTTCAGACCTAAGAAGTTTAATTTCCAAAAACTAATCTTGAAAACAGGATTAAATTTACACTTGCTACTTGATCCTAACTCTAGATAACAATAAAACAATCACGACCACACCACTCACATGAGATCCATTAATTTACTAACCCGTACCTTGTACCACGACTTGAGCAACAGCTTCGATACTTCCAAGTTTGGAGGCAGCAACACAAGTGTAATTCGCACTGTCCCGAATGTCTGTCAGTTGCAGGACATTCCGTCCTATCGGAATGTCATGCTCGGATGTCAAGTCAATCAGGCCCTTCTTCCACTTGACATATGGCATCGGAGAGCCCACAGCAACGCATGTGATGTTGAGGTTGGATCCGGGCATCACCTCGTATACATCATCCGGCGGTATGGAAAAATAAGGAGGCACACGACGAACTGGAAAAAGAAACACACAGAAATCATTTTGATATGATTACTAAACAGACTGAATTCTGAAAAGATTGAGAAAAGAAAGATATTCCATTGTATAGTAAGTAGGGCAAGAATATCCATGAACTGGCTGATAATAATGCGGTGTTCATGCAATATTAAAAAATACCCTAATGTTTAATTTATGACTACAGCAATTCTAAATAAATAATTATAAAGCGTTATATAAGCTGAACTGTGCACTTTTTATCTGATGCACACAGTAGACGTGGGTCTGTTTACAAAAGAAAAGTTATACAGGCACGCCTTCTCTATTTTTTTTTTTTTTTTCAATTTAGTAGACACTATTGCTGCGTATTATATAAAGCATCGTTGTAAATATTTAAATATTTTTCTATTATTGTTGTTTGCCTGTACTGTTGCAATACTGTGCATTTTATTTTATTTATTTATTTTTTGCTTCTAAGGTGACAATTTAAGGCTTGTTTTCTGTTTAATCGACTGTTTACATGTTTTGTATACATATTGTTTATCTTATGAAGAACTATAATCTCTCAATTCTCAGTCTAGCAACGTTTCAGTTGCAAAAAGCTCTAGTAAAACGCAAAATATGATAAAAACATGCTCCGAATGGACTTTAACAACAATTTCTGACGCCAAATTGGGAAGATCTGGCGATTTCTCACCAACCTTGCGATATTTTGGAAGATTAAAAGAAAACACATTTTTGAAGCCCAACGACCTATTTTTTTTTTTTTTGAAACTCTCAGAAATTCGTGCTTCACCAGACTCATGAAGCTGCACTACATATATAGGCTCCAAGAACCAGGAACGTTTAGTTTTTAATCAGTTGTGAGATTTAGCGACTCAAACAGAAGTAGCTGAAATGTGTTTTAGAATTTACTTTACTGAATGATTTTGGGAACTCAGCAATATTTTTCATGCGCTAAAGAGGAATCGCTTAATATCCGCATTCTCTTGAGCTATTTACAGCTATTAATTTTGCTGTGTGTGGTTAATTTTTATAATAAACAGTTGATTTTTCCCTGTCACCCAGAATGATTGTTTAAAGAGACAGACAAGAAGCCACTGCCAGCAGCAATATTTGTAAAATAAATAACCAGTTACTGTTTTTTCAATTATAATTATTCAATTAAAAATGCATTTAACTTTTTCTTTATATTTCCTTTTCGTAGTTTCAGTTTATTATGTGTTGGTAAAACAATAAGCTTGCAATACATTTTAAGCGGAAGATATTTTCCTTTCTTTTTGGGGGGGATAAAGGTAAGGAACGGAGACAAAGAGAAGCACCAAAGAATTCTTACTGAATTTATTACAAAACTGAATTAATTAAATTAAAATGATAAGTAAAAAAATCTAATTAAACTCTTTTTATCAGTTTAAAAATTGAGTATATGGTCACGCATACGGCAATCAAGTGCTCACATGACATCAAGAGCTTCCAGTGTGATAGTGACACAGTAGCAGATCTTGACTGAACAAGTTAGAGTCAATTAATTTGTAGGATTCCCCAGTGTGTAATTCTAAGTTACAGTTGAATGCGTAGAATCTTAAGAACAAGTAAGCGAGTAATCGCTTGAGTTCGTGAAGTAGAAAACAACAAGTGAGAAGGGTGAAATAACCCTTTATTATTCCAACTAAAGTTTAACAGAACTCCGTCTTTGGAATTTTACAAATAAAGCCGACACTCGGGCTTGAACTTAGGAAACTAAGAACTAAAACTAAACTAATCTTAACTTAAAAAGATATAGCCGAAGCTATCAAGATTCTAACGGAGTTGGCTCCTTAACGCTAATTGACTGCGAAGCTACACAGGTTCTGAATGTAATCCTACGAAATGGCATTCCATATGGCTTCGACCTGACGTCAAAGTTCAGTTGCCCTACCAGCTGTACGAGCAAGTCGCTTACTGGTGAAATCTTAGACATGCTCAACGAGCGAGATATACGGAGAATAAGTTGGCTATGGAAAAAGAGAAATCTGTTGTGCCTTAAGGAAGGCTTGTGAAGTCTGAGAAACATATGCACGGGCTTATATGAAAAATGTAAGGGAGTCCATGAAGAAAACCATTCTTTTAAAAGGGGAAGGGGGTGGAAAAGGCTCGGAATCTCTAGTCCGCAAATGAGCGCCGCAAATGAGCGCGGGTTTGCAGCTGAGGATAGTGGTTCGGTAAAACCATCGAAACTAGTCCTGTGGAAATTTTGTAAATATAACGCTGATTTTTGTTGTTTGTCTTCTGAATTAGTATTTATTCGGCGTGTTATTGTGTCTTAATTATTTCAATCGCATGTTTGAAAGCTGATATTTGTTAGCAAAATTTGCTAATAATCTCACCTCTAACGTAAAGAGTAGCAGGCCCAGACACTGCTGTGCCTTTCTCATTGTCAGCAACGCATTCATAACTTCCTTGATCCTCTTCTTCAGCTTGGGTAATCTGTAAGGATGCTGAAAAGGAAACAGAAAAATAATCTCAACAATATTACAAACGGATAGGTTTTGAATTACAGCGATTAATTAGAGATTATTTAAAAAAATTTAAAATTACTGTTAGGAAAGATAAAAATAGCATAGGAGAAAAAATACGGTCGGCGTCGTTTAGTGTTCACGTTTGTCCACGGCTATTTTGATAACATTAAACGATGACAAAAAAGTATCTTCCGTATCAGCAATAGAATTTGAATAATTTAACTAAATATAAGCCGAAACATATAAAATACATATCGTATTTGACGGCATATAAGACGCACTGGCATACAAGACGCACCCTTATTTAGAAGGCCACACACATGTAGATGTAGAAAAAGTTATGTGTGTCTAGATCTTTATCCGGGCTAAAAATAGCATTCAGTATTAAAAGTTAACCTGTGTCCTTCACGTATAAGACGCAAGTAACTTTTTTGAGACCAAATTTAGGAAAAAAAGTGCGTCTTACATGCCGTCAAATACGGTATTTTTACAGCATTTTAACTACGAAAAAACTCGTTACTAGTGAATTGACTGCAAGCGTTATGCAAAGTTAACCTGTGAACTGTGTCTGAAATCCAGAAATCCACTGAGTTGGCTTCCGTCCCAGAGTATTACATAATACATACAGAATTCGTTACCAACTCAGCAGTTTAAGGCTCTTAAAGATATTAATTGCACTGTGTTTTTTAGGCAGCCGAAGCTCTTACCAATCGTGCATAATACATGCATGCTTTGTGAATTGTGTCTATATTTCTGGGAAGTATTTAATGGATGTTGTATTCCAAATATTAATAGAAATAGAGCTTTCCTTATCAGCATTTATGGAGAACTCCCTGATTTCAGCTTTACATTTTTCAGAAAGTTTATGATATACTTGGATATGAAGTACTTGGATTTGTTTTAGAAAGCCCAGGGCAGACATCTTCGGTCACATTCTGTCTAAAGAAAGGTGACTCGTGCCTGATCGTTCTCGAAATCTACAGAGTTATTAAAAATCTGACCCAACATTTTTCAGTCATTTGGCGATTTTAAAATTTATTTTGATCTTATTTGGAGAGTTTACTTCGGGTTAAAAAATTATTCCATATTTGAAAACATTAAACAAATTGCTGATTACATGAAACGATGTATTATCCACGTTTTGTATACAAATGGCCGGGACCTTTGGCAATTAGATTAACAATATTCGAATGTTAACATTATTCGCGAGCACATTACCCGGCGTGTACTGCAGTGGCAAGGAATACTAAAATCAAACAAACAAATAAATTATGAACCTAAGCATTTAATTTAGATTATTTTAACGAAGACACATTTCATTTAAGCTAAATATATAAAAATGTCAGATAAAAAGATTCTAAGCCAATCAGTCGTTTACCACGCAGAGCGTAGAAATTACATAGTCAATCATACGAAACGATATAGTCAGTCATAAAAACAAACATGGTCAGCCATTTATGGCCTGTTTCAACTGTTATTACGCACCTATTTCTATAATAAATGATAAAAACTACGTATTTATGGTTTACATAAGCATTTATGCTGAAGGAAAACTTAGAGATGAAATTTTGTTAATAAGATAACAAACACTTTTAAAATGAACTATTTATAGTTATTTGAAGGTGGTTTTATATTAGTCATAAAGACTCTAATTTTCTTCTCACCTCCGGTCGGTAGAAGTGCTACATACACAGAAAAGTAAATATAACAAAGCAACTGAAAATGTGTCAATATATCACGTAAAATCTATCCATCTGAATGCACGTACCTGGAATATATTAAAAAATAATCCGCGTAACCATAAAACTATATCTTTTTTTTGTGCAATCCGAGAAAACATACGGTATTTTCTCGCGTATTTTTTCTCCTAGTTTTCAGCTGCAGGTTCTAAAAACTGCCTCCTAGATGGTGTAGTGGTTAGGGGAGCCGACTACGATATGGCCCGGGTTCGAATCCCGGAGTAGGTATGATTGTAACTGTTCGTCCCTTCATAGGAGGTAACAGTTCTCGCCTATTAGGTGTCATTTTCCACAAGAAAATGGCACAAAAAGTTTTGAAAACTGTAAAATCATTCGCGTAGTTTTTCATTTTCTCAATGCGTTCGGAGCTGTCCTAAATTTTCTAAGGATTTGTTCACTTAGTAATTGTTCTGTCTACGACAAACCCTCGCAAACTACCTTTGAAGGTCAGGCCGAAGCCTTTTCTTCCAAGTGTTGAACTAAAGCAACCTTATACAAGAACTGACCATTACTGCGATGCAAAAACACGAACCGACATTTAGTCTACGATTTTTTGAGTTGGCTGCATATTTAACTTCTCTAATTATTTATGGATGTTTTGAGGAGGCCTGTGGAACACCAAAGACAACAATAAGAACGGGGGGAATTCAAGTTACAGGGAAGTAGAAATGAAAATATCTCATTATATATTGTAATGTAAATATGTATTCTTATTGGAATGTAGGTTTCATCTAAAGGAATAATATTGTGACAATTAATTACCTGAAATTTATCCATGACTATTTCTCCCTTTTTATATTCGTACTGTAACCACGTAGTTCAGAATTCAAATTATTCGCGTAATTTTACTCGCAAAGTTCCGGTGATTAAATTAGTAAAAAAAAAGGGAGAAATACGCGAGGAAATACTTAAAAGAAATTTTTTTTTAGTTCTGTGGAGTTCATAAAACTCACAGTTTTTTTCAAAAATCTCATCATCAGAAAAATAAGTGTTAAAAACATCGAAAGTAGAAGGTATATGAATTGTGCATGCATATTATGTGGAAAGTAAAATAATATTATTATTTCGATATAATTTTTCATACAACAGTTCTACTTGATATTAAGTTTGCCAATACCAACAACAGCTATAAAAAACTGTTAGTTAATTAATTATTTGCGATTTCAGTTTAGTAGCCAAAATAATATCGAAAAACATCTTTTTAATTTTTAAATTTTGATTTGCGGAATCGCTTTTGGAATTACAGAAAATCCTACGCTTCTGCGAAATACAATTTGAAGAGCACCTGTATACCGTATTTAAAAAAGATTGAAAGAAAAAACATTTCTCGAACAGTTGGCTACAGACGTACCATTCCAGTTTAGGAAATAAATAACATCGGCTTCCAGATCATAACAAGTTTCTTCACGCAATAATTTATAGCAAGAACATATTAAATATGAAGTTTTTGTAGATCTTTCATAGTGAAAAAAAGTACCTCATTCTGCCCAAATGAAGCCTCTACACACTTACGTAAATCTTTAGCAGCTAGTAAACTAGAAATTGTCCGAGACCATATTGATTTACATTGCTGCTCAAGGTTGCTAAGTGCCCCTTCTATAATGAAGTATATATCTTTTATAGTTACATAAAAGCAGTGTAAGTACCCGCCATTGCCCGTGTTTTATGCAGAGTGACGAGGCTTCATTTAAGGGAATAGAGATACGTTTTCTGAAATCTCATTTTCGAAGTATTCGCGAAAAGCTGATAGAGAGCGTATTTAAATTCTGTTCTGAAGTTTCTCACTGTTCTGGAAAGCTCTACATTATTCTAAAAAGATAACTATTCATGCGCTATCTAAAGCGCTTAGTAAGAACTGATAACTTGTTTGGTTATCGGGTATGTCTTTTTTCGGAAAGTCACCATCTACGTTAGCCGATTTCTTCATCGTTTTCGAAATATTCATAAAATCTGATAAACAGCGCATACATATATATATATATATAAATTTTCCTTTAAAGGTTCTATAGCTTAAATAAACATAGTGCCATTTAAAGTATTTTGTAAGAACTGATAGCAGGAACGCACCAACGGCATAGTGAAATTAAGATGGGTGATATGATTTCAAAATTGAACCTATACAGAAATATTTATTGTTTGTAAAAACCATTATCAATTCCTGGCCTAGCATGCATGACTTACACTGCTAGCGGGAACACAACATTCGAGACGTTACCCTAAGATTGGTGATAGGTACCTTAGATGAGTATCGTGATTGCACCGTTCTAATACAAACGCCTTGACCGTGGAATGGTTTTCCGAAATCTAATGTAGACCTCCCGCTTGTTTTCAAGGTCAAAGGTGCAAAATTTCATCAAGACCTTAAAACTGTAGATTTGCATGAATTATATACATACAAACAAAAACATCTCTCTCTCTCTATATATATACATATACGGATGGTTTTAATGAATCCAGGTAGTTTAATTTCACGGGTCCCGCTAGTCTATACCATTAAAAATCTGTGAGCGTCTGTTTGTTTGTGACCTTATCTCTTCCGAAACGGCGGGGAGTTGAGCTTCGAGAGAAGTACTTCGGAGTGGGAAGCCATTTCAATCATTCTCATTTTCGTACGACATTAATTAGCCAAGATATTAATTAAAAACTTTAAAAAATGCTAATTTTCACCCTCATTTCTCCGAGTGGCATCAGTCTTGCACGCTGGAGATGAAAATCTGCTTTATTTCGAAAAGTGCTGCCACTACTTGCTTTCAAATAGTAGACTTTATTAATAGAAAAGTAGTCAGTTTTACAAACTAATGAAATATAAAAAGCGCTGCCAAACTTTAAACATATTATTATTATATAAGATCATATTCTGACGTTGAAGAGACGCGATTGCATGTGACGTCACTAAATGTCGAAATATTTTTCATTTATGTCAGCATATTATATAAACAGCTGCTGTTGGCAACACTTTTGTTTCAGGTTAGTAAAATTGGCACAATAAATTAATGCCACGTTAATTCTTTTATTGATATTGGAAAAATGTTGTTATATTACATTAAATTTATATTCATGAAGTCATATGTATTAACCTAAAGAGTCAAGTTTTTGTTTCCTGGTTTGGCAATTAAAAATTATTTACGAATTGGTTGTTGGTTGAAAAGAATGAATAAATTTCATTCATATTGAAATGCTTCTGTACATTTGCTTTTCAGGGGTGCATAGAACTTAATTAAAATAAATAAATAAATTTTG